GCACGAGTTGCAGGGGCATAATCTGTTTCCTCAGAAAGGCACCCTCCGTTATTTTTGTTACCAGGCAATTGAAAGCAAAATTTTTCTATTTTTCCAAAAGACTTAGGGTGCAAATCTGTACCATATTCAAACCTGTGTATTATTTTAAAAAATATTTAGAAATGATAAAAATATGTGAACGACTTTTTCCCTTAAACTTCGTCAATCCTCAGATTCGCCCTCTGGTGCTACTGCCGAAAACACGGGCGTATTTGATCATTACGACGCATCCTTCAAAAATGTTTTTCAAGCCAAGTGGGAACAGCTTTGTATTCGAGTACTTTTCTCATTGAAATTCTGAAACCACAGAGACGTGTCGTACGAGGCCAAGTGATGGATCATCTTGAAAATTTTTTAGACGTGATGCGGACTACAGTCAAAAAGTTGGCTCGGTTTTGAGAAAAAATGTCCGAATATGTTGTTTTCAAGCCACTGTCGTATTTTACAATTGTAAGCAAAAATGAAAGCAACGTAGTTCCATACGTCAATTAAACTATACTGGCTTAGGTTGGTTTCAGGAGACACTATACTTTACAAGGTTTGGTTTCAGGCAAAGCCTCCCCTCCTATTAAAAAATTTAAAAGTTCAATGCAAATATAAGTACGGCGCGAAGAATTCTGTGCTGTTTGCACAACGACCAAATGTTCTTACTTTAGTTTGAAAATGACAATATCAGCACATTGTTCATTGTTGAACTGGATTCCCAAGTTAGACTCCAATCTTCGAGTCAAGTTCAAAAAAGACGACAGCTACAAAATAATCCGAATATCCGCCTCTAAATCTAAATGTAATGAGAATGAAGTCTGCGAGTTCATTTCGTTCCTTTCGAAAACAGTCGAAAATATTCGGAATTTACGATGTGTCGCCGCAGTCATGAAGCAGTTTCCCAAATTAGGGGTCCTCCAAATGGAACTCTTGAACTATCCTCATTTGCTGCAGAATCCTCGTTTGCAGATGGAATTTGCGAAGCTCCTCAATGCGTATCTTAATAACAAAAGTGACCATCCAAAAACTGCTGAGTTAGTTAAGTTTTGGTGTTTCCAAAATTTCAAAAAGTTGATTTTGATTGCTGCAGTACGCGAGCAAGAGGAAATAAGCTCTGAAGATTCAATCAAACTTGAGGCAATTGACGATGAAATGTTAGAAAATATTATTTGTAATTTTTTGAGGCCACAAAACGTGAATAATGTTATTAGAAGTACACTTTTAAAAATTCTAGTTTTGTTTCTGAATACGTTTGAGTACAGAAACAAAATCAGATTCACTTTCCTGTTGGCAGCAATAGAAAAGGCTATTTCTCAATGCAACTTGGCACTGCAAAGAGAGCTGTTTACTCTTAGCTCAAACGACTGCCTTACCTTTCCGGCGAGCCTCGTTGGAGAGAAACTTTTCGAGTCCATCATCGCTGACATAAATTCAGAAATAACTATGGAAGCAAAAGTGCCGCGTCTTCTGTTGGCTGTAAAAAATGTCAGATTTCAGGAGCATGAAACGCTGCTGTTAGTTATCAAAAGCTTGTTGTTTTATATTCAAGGCTGTAAGGAAACCATGAAAAAGTATTTAGCTAATTTCACAATTCAGAGGATTTGGTTTAGTGATGACAAAGGAGCCAACTACAAATTAGATCTATCGATAGCTCTCGAAGTTGACGAGATATCAGCTTGTGCAATCTATACTTTCTTAGCCATTTGCCCTTTCGATATGCCTCAAGAAGAAGCGATTCATTACTTGCACGGTCTGGCGAGCGAGTTCCTAAAAGTAGCGGAAGACAATAAGGCTCGACATTTCTTGCTCATATGGGCCTTTTGGATAATTGAAACTCAACTTGCTCGTCCAGAAATATTCAAAGAAAACTACAAAGCTAACTTGACTAATATTTTGACCACCGATGTATTTCTGAGGCATGAAAGAGAATTAATGAATTTTTTAAAGGCAAACAACATCTCATCGAAAGAATCAAATGAAGACATGGTCGACTTTCATCTCGGTATAACAGAGCTTTAATTTCAGCGAATGGTTGGTTTTTGATTTGATCTGCATATTTATTTGAAGTTTGATATTGTTTTTGTTTTGACTATCGAAACAGGTATTTAGAAAATTCTTTTTGTTGTAAGTTTTCTTTCGGTATTGAAATATGGAGATGCCGCGTAAGATCTGAGCGACTTCTAATTCAATATGAATTTAAATTTTCATAATTTCTGGCGCAAAAAGAAAATTTACCTATTGATCCTAAATTCTCAAACTGGCTCAATTTTGTTTTGAAATAAAAAAGTGTTCAATCTTCAATTGTTTTGGAGTTTGAAGCACTTATTGTTTGATGACAGTTCAGCTATAATCACGATCGGTAGCATTGGAAATTTCATATTGTATTTTATTTCATTTATATGTGGCTAGTGGGTTGATGTATTAAGATTCGGTGGCTGAGTGGTTAGTGCGTGAGACTCTCTAGGTTGCAGGTCGAACCCAAGACGAAGCCGAGTTTTTACTGATTCGAGGCTTATTTCTTCTTTTTATTGCACTTTATAGAGCTGCTTTTTGCCGTAATCTCGCTAGTGTTTGCGAAGCGCAGCTTCGCCTTTGTAATTTTTTTTGCTTAAACAAATGGCGAAAGTAGTTTCGATATACAACTATTAACGAAATTTTAACATCATTCAGTGTTACAGAAAATTGGCGCTAGTGATGGTGCCCAGCAAGCATATGGTTGCTGGTTCGAATTGCACGGGCTCTGCAATTTGTCAGGTGAGCTCTCGCAAATTAGTCATAACTTAACGGGTGCTGATTATGGTTGAAACTGAAAACTTTTTTCTGGGAAAATTGAATTGTCGGATGTTGAATTGACGTTTTTTTTTTGTTTTTTATTCCAGCTGAGGCTTTTCCTGGTGGATAAAAGAGATGTCGTTCATTTTGCCGCAGCCGGTCCCACCTTGAGGCGGCTAACACTGAGACCCCTCCAACCGGACTTTCTCTTGTCGACTTAGTTGACACATCACTGATTTTGCTTCAGCTGTAAGCAATTTCCATTGTAGTTGAAGTTTTTGTTGTTTTACTGCTGTAAACTATAAAGTTACTGACCCGGATTTTGCGATTTTGTATATTTTCTTTTTGCTTTTTTTTCGTTAGTGGTTTCGGCTCAGATTTCATCGTCTTAGTCTTTTTATTTTGTGGTGTAGTTTGAAAGGCAATAATTGAATTATAAACATAACTCTGATTTTGTAGATATGTGAAAATCAGAAGTGAAAAATAATCAGTGTTTTTTATAATTAATTCAGCGCGTGTTTTGTAAACTACTGTTTTGACATGTTTTTTTTTCCGTCTCATTTTCTATTTGCCAGCTTGGAATGCTACCCTTGTGATGTATCGCAAAGGATGCGAAGCTCCGTTTCGCCTCTGTGTTTGAAAATCCTTTGCATCTTTAATTATGTATATTCTTTTCTTTTTGAATTTTTTTCAGTTACGTATGAATACACTTTTTAGAATAAATGTGAAAAGGCGTTTTGTTGGTCTACTCTTTGTATCTTTGTCTTTTTCTACTTTTGTGTCTGGGTTCAAAATATGCCAGTTACAAAAATTTCGGATAAGCCTCTTTTTTAATTGTTCGATTTAGAAAAAAGTGTTAATTTTCATCAAATTGCAGAGTCAAATGTCCTCATGAAATTGAGACGCCGTCAAATTATGTTTTATTATGTCAAAAAATTTTGATCAGTTACTAACAGACACAACGTACAGTTTCACTTCATTTTAACTAAAATGGGTGTAATTTAGATGAAGAGTTCATCTAGTGTCCTGGGCTACTTATTGCTCAGGTTATTATGAATTGCATTGCTTAGATTTCCTGTCAACTTGACGATGTTGATTAACTCAAAGAAGTTTCATAGGAGATATCAAGCGAGTTTTTTTCAGTTGGCTTAACTTAGATCTATTCTTTCTGAACTGAAACGCTTGCTGAAAAAACCTCGTCATAATTAAAAAGAACTTAATTTTAAAAGTTTTCTTTGAAACTTTTTTCGCCGTCCATTAACATGCGCGGGATTTTTACGTATGCGATGATTGTGCTCACGACCAGCAAACCTCATCATATCGGAACATGGGCTTGTTGTTGTAAAGAAATTGTCCGACAAAAGCACTAAATCATTTTCTCAAATTGGTTCGAAGATTATATACCCGTAATAATCGATAGTTGATTTTTTAAAATCTTGGTTTTAATATTACTAACTACGGTCCGGTATAATTTCGTTTTTTTTTAAAATCAATAGTTGATTTATTTTAATCTTGGTTTTAATATTACCAACTACGGTCCGGTATAAATTCGCTTTTTTTTCGTTTTTTTTTTTTCATTTACTCGTGAAAGTTTTTTTTGGCTCAAACTCAATCGGATTATTGGCATGATATTGCATCAGTGGAGCTAATTTGAAAGTTTTTCAAAGTTTTCTAGCTTTGTTAGGAAAGCATTTTTTTGTGGCACAATTAATGCCTGCTCATAAAATTTTCGGCTATTTAACCGCTTTTTGATGCAAAGTTCCTAGCTTTCCTTGACTTTTTCAAAAAGCTTTGTTTTTCGTCTCAGTTTCTGATTGCTAGTTTGTCAAGCTATGTTTGTGTTGTATCGCAAGTGGCGAGAAGCTCTGCATCGCCTTGGTGTGATATTTTTCCAATTTCTGCGTTTTCTGCGCATGTATCGCAATAATGTAAAAAAGTTGGTCTTTTTTTTGCTTTTATGACCAATTTACAGCGCGAAAGTTTGGATGAAATAAGGGGATGTACAGGGTTTGAAATCTGAGGTTGCAGTTTTTTTTACTGAAGTATGGCTACCTTATTTCAATCCAGTCTACCTCCCAAAGAAAGCAAGACTCAGTTTAATACAATTTCTCAAATCAACCATTGCTTTTTTCTGCCTTCTTGCTACACTTGAAACCGTGATATCATGAGATATTTTGAATTAATTTTTTGGCATCATCCAGATGTGATTAATGGCAGCCATGGACTCTGCCGACTCAAATGATGACATCATAGTACTGGACCAGTACCACATGCTCATCTATTGCCTCTGCATCTGCTCAATTGCACTTTTTGTCTGGTTCCTGGTCCAGATGATAACACATCCCGAGAAGTTCATTCGGGCTCTGAATGAGAATCAGAGAATGGAGGCCGCGTTGGAGAACGAGGGGAACGTCATTCCAGGAGGCAGAGTCAGTTTCCCCAGCATGAACTATGTGGACTCCTCCTTAGACACGAATCAGTTTCATTCAGTGGATATCCCAGTCACACATGTGTCGCCACTCTTCACTGCTCAATCCCAGACAAGTGAGATGAATGTTTCAAGTTATTCTCTTCCCTTAAGTTTATATGTTTGCCTAGTACAAACATTTTGTTAAGTCACTTTTTATAGTCTGACAATTATTCAAGATTTTTTGAATCATGTAGAAAAGAAAATTAATCGAATCTAGGTACTTCCTTGCATTCATTTTTCACAGATTTTTGCGATTTCAATTTTGCTAGAAAAGCATTAAATTTTTAAAGTGAAATTATGAGTCGGATCGGTCTGATCGACCGCTCCAAAAAGTTGTATCTTTCTTTTTTTGCTGTTTCGACCACTATGGCATATACGGTGTCGAGAAAAATGGGTCTGAATTTTTCTAATTTAAGACTAGTTAAGAAGAAATTTGCCGAAAGGCTGGCTTCCTGAATTTGATGCCGCTACAAGTTGATCATTGTTGTAGCTATTATGTTTTCTCATTCTTGCAGTTTTTCATCTTATTCAGGTGTTTTGCTAAAAAGAATCTGTAAGATAGAAAGAATAGAAACAAATTTTAAAAAATATAGATTTGAAAAAATCATTTTTTTTTGCAATTAAAAAGTCTTCTTTTTTCAATACGATTCATTTTTTTATTTACTATGGTCGGAGCATTCAGTGTTTCTTGCACAGCAATCAGGGGTTAGGCACATCTCTATTAACACGAGGGTCATGCGTTCGAATCCCGCTTCGGTCACGGCTGGAGGGGTCCCAGTGTCATCCGCCTCCTCAAGGTGGGACCGGCTGCGGCAAAATGGATGACATCTCCCCCTCCCCCACGGTTGGTCCTGCACTGAGCAGGCCGGGGGCTAATAAAAAAAAAAAAAAAAGCAATCAGGGGCTCATGTTCCTTTTGAAAATGTGATTCATGTTATATTTCGATGAAATCGTAAAAAACTATCTATCATAGGCTATCAACGGCATACCATGGGAATAATTGCTGAGTGAGATCTTCAGGTTAAACCTGGCACTTTTTGGGCAACAAAATGTTATTTGAAGAATAAGTGAGTTTTTTTGGGGGGTCAATGATTTTAGATTTCAAATTGGAAGTGAACGTAAACAGGAGTGGCACAGAACAGCGTATATCAAATGCAGTATTCACAACATTGGCGGCATACAATGTGCCCATCTCAACTGTGACTAGATTCCTTCACAACTGCAGCTCCCCTCATGCCATGCAACTGTTCAACACTAATCTGCTCATCCAACCGAAAGAACATTCGGAAAATATTATGTTTGAGGTGAACATTAACCGTGACCAGCCAATTGACAGCCGATCGAGGTATCCGCTAACTGTGGTTACAATGCTGAACAACACTGCAAATACCTCACAACCTCATCAAAGAGTTCGTGGTGTTCTATCTGTTTATCACATAAAAAATGTCTCGAATACTCGGAAGTCGGCGCTGCTTCTCCAGTCTCTACTCTGTGCAGAGAATCAGCACTACCCCCTGAAGAAAGTGTACTTGGGGCAGGAGCTATGTATTGTGTGTCAGGTGGAGAAGAGTAGTGTGTGTCTTTTGCCCTGTGGACACATGTGTGTCTGTGACAGCTGCTGTTTCCTCATCAGGCTCAAATGCCCTCTCTGCAGAACAGCAGTCACAAACACTATTTTGAACTACTCACATAATGACGACATACCACAGACTAGTAATGTGCAGTCTGTGTAAAACAATCCATAGTTGCCGAGACACGTTTAGTAGCTGTTGTGAAATAAAACTTTGGTGAGCTCAATTTTTGAAATCAATGCTTACAACAGTTTTTGGTTGTATCATAGCAGAAAACAATCGTCCTGATCAGCAGGGGCGGATTTGGTGGATTCGACCCCCTCACTAACCAATGGGTCCCCCTTTGGTATTATTTTATGACATTCATTGTCGGCGGCCAACCTTAAATTTTTCTAAAGGCGCCAATAAGCCCCCTCTCTTTGTACTATACTCAACCTCGACCGCCCCGCCAGCAATGCGTGAATATTTTAAACTCTTTTAACGAGGCATTTGAAAAAGTTTATTAGAAGCAGACCATTGTGATCCTTCAACAATTTTAACCACCTAAGAGCGTTTATAAACAGCAATTTTAAAACACGCTTTTCACATTGTAGTTTTTCACATTGTAGTTGCTTTTATTGGTTACACTAGCGAACTTTTGGTGGCACCTTCACGGTTTTTTGTTAGCATGTGCTTTGAAATTCGAAGGATATTGCAATCAGGTACTAGATATTTTTTCCCGTAAAAAAAACTTTTTTAACAGATTGGTCAATATTAGAATTGGTAAATATAGGTTTAGTTCATATTGAATTCAAACTTCTCGGCCTGGACATGAAGAATACGCCTGGGACGACAATGGTTCTGGGTTCAAAGCTAACAGTACCTTTTTATCAAACAGGTAATTTTTCGTTTCAAAAAAATTCTCGGCTTATTATTTTTCTACTTTTAACTTAGTTGCCACATCGTATAATTGTTATAATTGTTTTTTTTTGCTGTACGCTTTTCACATTGTAGTTGCTTTTATTGGTTACACTAGCGACCTTTTGGTGGCACCTTCACGGTTTTTTATTAGCATGTGCTTTGACTTTCGAATTGTAATAAGTTAAGATAATTGACTCATTTTTAATTCATCAATCGAACTGGAAAAATCTATTTCTTTTAAACAACAACATTACTGAAAACTCGATTTCAGAAATTTTCTAACTCAACATATCTCACAAGTTTTTAAAATGCACGATTTTAAAATAATGTAGCTTAATGCTTTCCAATTCATAACATGCTGATTAGGGCGAGAAGCGCCTGCAGTACCGGGTCGGGGAGCTGAGCCAGCATCTCGCTGCTCACTCAGTTGGGTCCCGGACTTGAGCCTTTTTTAGTTTCTTGATGGCGGACTTGAGTTGACGACGTGTGAAATCGCTATAATTAGCCGTCTTTGTCCCATTAAAATGGCTCTTAAGGACTTTTGTGCTTCTCTGTTGACTTGTTTGTCAGTTGACAAAACAGGTCGGTTTTCCTTGTCGGAGACTGCGTCTTTTAGCCGGCTCCCTATTTCGTCTATACTAATGAGGGCCCTCGATCGCGGCCTTTTGGTTCCTCTCCTCTTAAGCACTGAGGGGGTTCACATTTGCGAAGCGAGTGTATTAGGAAGAACCTTCTTTTTTCCAGCCTAAGTCGCAAACTTTGGTGCCACTCTTGAGGCATTTTTACAGCTTTTTCATAGCATATGCTTTGACATTCGAATAGTAATAAGATGACACAGGTGATGCATTTTTAATTCATCAATCGAACCAGAAAAAGCTATTTCTTTCAAACAACATAACATTACTAAAAACTCGGTTTCAGAAATTTTTCTAGCTCAATATATCTTTTAAATTTTTGAAATGCACAATTTATAAATAATGTGGCTTTAGGTTTTCCAATTCATATCATGCAAAATTCGCGTGGATGCCTCCAGTTTGTCATATTCAGAATTTGTACTTGCAAAACTGTGTCTACACTTATTTGCTGCCACTATATCTGTATTGCATTGTTAATTTAGTAGCATAAGTAGTTGCTTTATTTATGACTAAATTTTGCCAAGTGTTAAGCCTTCGTGGCCGAGAGGGCAGGGCGTGAGACTTCAAATCTCGAGGTCACAGGCTCGAATCCGAAACGTAGCAGTTTTAACAATTTGAGGCTTTTTTCTTATTTGTCTTGTTTCACTTAATTAAGCTGTTTATTTGTCGTGCTCTCGCTAGTGTTTGCGAAGTGCAGCTTCGCCTTCTCCTGTTTGTATTTTCATGACTTCGTATGTTTTTGTTTTGATTTGCTTTAAATTTTTATTCCGCCCAAATTATTTCGTCTTATATTGTATTGGTTTGTGACCTAATTTTTTGTTGTTTCGATGTAAATATCATTTTTATGCTCACTGGATTGCACAAATTGATAAAATCTTCATCTACTATATATTTAAATGTGGGCTTTACTATCTCGCCACGCTCAAGCTTTTTCAACGTTTTATTTTAGCATGTTTAACAAAAGAATTTTTTCACGTTTAAGCTATATCGTATTCGCAATGGTTAAGATTTTCCAGTTTGATTTTTTTTATTTCATCGAGATTAAAATAAGCAGCCAAATAGTGGGATGCTGTCAGGGTTCTCCAAGGGGTTGAGAATTTGGCTTCCAAAGTCAAATCAGTAAACAGTGATTTTTTTACGATTTTTTCACAAGTTTTCAGATCTTTAGTTCGGTGCTGTCAGGGTATTCTCAAGGATTGCGATTCTTCCTTCTAAATATGACTGCTCAAATCCTTGTATTTTTTCAGTCAGATATGAGGGCACTGTGAGGGTACTCTCAGGAGTTCCAAATTGCAATTTTTGCCTTCAAATTCAACTGCTCGAATGCTCGTAGTTTGCAAGATGTTAATTTGTTATGTATTATTTTTTAAATTGTTCAAAGAACTTAGATATAAAAAATTTCACAAAACTTGAAGTTTCCATATCTATAGTTTGGCTCTGTCAGGGTACTCACAGGAGTTGCAATTTTTGCTCCTACATTTCACTGCTCAAATCTTTTTTGTTTTCAAGAAATGACGCCTTCTGTGATTTTTCAAAAAGTTTTCAAAACTTAAATCAAGTTTTTTTTTTCAAATCCAAACTTCCCAACTATGTAGCTGGGACCGTCAGAGTGCTCTCAGGGCTTGCGAATCTTGCCTCCTAAATTGACAGCTGAAATCTTTGTTGATTTCGAGATATGACGTTTTAAGTTATTTTTTTTTTTCAAAAAAAAACTTTCAGAAAGATATGAAGTTTTGTTTTCTATGATTTTTTCAAAAAGTTTTCTTAGAAAAGTTAAGTTAGGAAGTTTTTCAAAGTTTCAAATTCACAACACGGTAGTTGGGTACTGTATGATCACTCCCAGGAGTTGAAAATCTTGCGTCTGAATGCAATTGCATTTACTTTCCGAGATTAAAAAATTTAAAAAACTTGAATAAAAAAACATTACAAAATGTGAAATTGCGAATCCTCTAATTGCGTGCTATCAGAATACACTCAAAAGTTCCATATCTAATTTTCAATATATGCGGTTTCTTAATAAATTGTTCAAAAATCGAATCACCGGAGGTGCGTTACACGCTAGTAGAAATTATAGCTTTTGTTTTTATGACAACTTTTTTTGGCTCTTTTGGTTCTTGGTTACTTTTTTCTCGGTTTGATAGGTTTCGAGTGGAATTTATATCGGCGTAATGGCCTCATATTGCCTCTTTTGACGAGCGAACATTTTTATAATGCGTGTTTGTGTTGTGAGGGGAGGAGGGCTCGTTAGCTTTTTCAGGTCTTAAGTATCGTTGATTCTTTTTGGCTGAAAGGGTTGCTTGGAGGTTTATCCATACTTGGTACCGCTCGGTAAGTTCTCTACCAATTCGATTTCTCTTTTATTGTCCTGGCTTGTTTTGTTTCAAAACTAGCCTAATTTATTTTAATACCTAATTTATTTTATTTTGCACTTAGCGGCTTTCTGGTTTTGTATTGCAAGAGGTGTGAAGCGCTGCTTTGCCTCTGCGTGAGAAATAATCACACCAATCGAGTGCAAAGTTCACCTCTAAGGACCCCCAGAAGTTACAAAAACAGAACAAACACTACAACGCTTGATGAGGCATACGCTTGCCCGAATAAGACTAGGATACAGCCCCTACCTAAATACTTAATTGATTAAGATAGACCAAAATCTTACTCCAAACTGTCTTTCTGACCTTCACCCCACACAGCGTTACTACTATTTGTTTGTCCCCAAAATAGAACGAACCTGACGCCAATAGACTTGTGGCTTCGGCCGACGGAGGTCGCAATGTCCCTTGAAGTGAACGAGAGTATGCCGGACGCGCCCCCAAACAAACAACAACTACAATAGCAGCGTCAATAAATGCTTATTTTGAAGGGTACCGCGAGCTGAAAACAACTCAATTTTTTGGTCAAAAATATTCCAAGAAGTGCCCAAAAACCGCATTACCTTTCACCTCTTTCTTCTTCAAAAATTGAAATTTGTCAAAATGGAGTCTTTTTAGTGTTCTGTTAGCGCTCAGAAAATCAATTTTGCCGACCTGAAAAAAGTTCGAACTATTTTCCGAAAGCCCTCTGTCGTCCATCCCCTACCCCCCTCCCCCTCAAAAAAATCATAAATCCGCTCCTGATGACCAGAGTGTTCTACAGGTTGCCGCTCATGAAATAGTGTATAAATTAAAGTTCTACATTTTTTAAACTAACGAAAAAAATACACATGTGTTATAGAACAGTCGGCTGATACGATAAGAAGTTAGTTTACTTGCGGAAATACACTATTTTTCGATAAACATCTTTCTTTTTAATACGTAGGCAACCGGCAGCTTCGAACGCCTACTAGTGCGATTTTTAAACAGTCATATACAGGCATGGCTGCTTGATTCATAGTCCATACTAGTTTTGTTTTTGACAGATAGACAAAAAAATGTTTTTTATTTTCGGCTTTGTGGTTTGCGTTCTATTTAGTAAGTAATTGCTATAATAAAAATAATAATAATATTGTGGCTTCTCGGCCCAAGCTAAAAGCTGGAACCGAAGTGCGCGTTGCCCAAAACAAATATAATACATAGCAACATCTCACGATCCATTACAGTTGGGATAAAAGCACAATAGTCTCCAGGTGCAAGGTCTGTCCGTGGAACAAGTATTAACAAAATAGCTCCTGTAGTGTTTTTTTTTCAGTCTAGGTTTTAGCCCAATAGAGTTGTGG